ATTCAATTCCAAAAATGTGAGAGACAGAATTTCTTGTTCTCCTTCCAAATTCCATCAAGCAAGTCCAAAGTACTCTTGAGGCATTGCTGGTACTGGGGCCTATTCATTCACGAAGCAATCAGATTAAGAAAACTCTAACTTATCTCCTATTTTCAATAGTTCTTAGCACTTCTGTTTACACTAAACTAGAAAGGCATTGTAGTAATAGCCTCATTTCAGTTATGGACTAAAAATCAAAGAATAAGATGACCAACTAACTCTATTTTCCTCAATTTCTAATACAGGAGCTACCCCACCTGATTCTCTTCTTGACTGCCCTTGGTATCCCTTTAAATATATTATAGACATAGAGGTTCTATAAAAACAAAATACATGATTTACCTTTCATTTAACCTTTTACTTTCAATGAATAACTAATATTTATTGGGAGTTTATTACAGGACCAAATATTACACTAAATGCTTTACAAGTATTATCTCAGTTAACTCTCACAATAATTTTATGAGGTAGATACTGTCATAGTGTCTATTTTATAGTTGAAACACCTGGGATTTGTAAATGTTAAGTGACTTGTCTGAGGTCACTCATTAATAAGCAAAAAGAGCCAGCATTTAAACTCAAAGAGCTTGCCTGACTCCAGAGTCTGCCTCTTTAGCTACTTTGTTAAATCACTTTATAACTTTACTCCTTTCCTGAGGTTTCTGGCAGATTATTCACAAATAAGTTACAATTAAAGGAACATGTTCTAATTCTATTAACCACTTTCCAGGCCAAAATCTAAACAATGCTTAGAAAACAAACAAAAAGTTGTAATCCAATAATTCTTTTTTTTTTTTTGCAGTGATGGAGAATATTTCATCAGTGCTTAATTTTTATTTGTAATACAATAATTCTAAAATTATGGCAAATTGAATACAAATATGGAATTAGTATGATAACATTTTACTGAGAATTTGGCAACTATGTTAGACTATTTGCTAGTAGGAATGATACAACGGTTTCTTGGTTTTTGTTTTCAAATATATTTTCCAATCAGTTGGCTCAACAGATATGTATCCAGTTTCACTCCATTACTCTGAAAGCAACACTGCCTAATGATCTAGTTATAAAATCATTTGCTAATCTTCATCATAGACTGCATGCTTATAATTTGGATCCTCATGAATCATGGAAAAAACATTTGCACAAATATATGTTAATCCAGATGCACTGGTCAAATGATTATTGCATATGCAATATCAAAATATCAAGAATTCTGCTTGTTCTTTGTGGTTTCTAGCCACCCAAAGGGAAAACCAAAAAAAAGAAAATATGTAAAGAGCACATCTACCAAAGATTGCCATCATTCAACATGTGCATTAGAATTAAAGGATGAAAATTTTCATTATTGAGAAAATACTCAACAATAAATTAAAGCACTTGGCATGCATATGTAAATTGGCAGACTGTACAAAGAGAAAAGCATTTGACTTGAGATTTAGATATCTTGAGTCTAATCGTTGCCTTATTATTTATCAATTGATTCAGCATGTAGATGTGTAGTCTGAATCTCACTTTCTTTCATGTGTCAAACAATGATAATACCTATGTTCATGGGGTTGCTTTAATATAATGGGTAAATACTCAAATGACATCTGGTACCCAAATAAATGGCTGCATATCTATACTGGAATGTCCTACATACAATGGTAAACACCCTGCTGAAATAAGTCAAAAGCATCTATTAACACTATGGACAAAAGAAAAAAAAAAGCTAAATATGACAATAGGTACATCCTACTACCAGGGAGTCTGTTGTGTTTGCTATATCAAAATATGTGACACTGGGAAATTTATAAAGAAAACAGTTGTGTTTTTTTTTTTTTTTTGGCTCATGCATCTTTCTGGTGACTAGAGGATTCAAAAAGTATGGAACCAGCATACTCAGAAGGGTACCCTTGCTATACCACAATATGATGTATTTGTCAGTTTTTGATCACTATAAACAAAATACGATTGTAGCTAACTTTGTAAAGAGAAAAAAATTATCTAGCTTACAGTATTTAGAGGTTCATAGTACAAGATCTGGAGGCTCAGGTGTTTTACCTCTGGTGAGGAGAGCAGATGGAGCACCTCATGAAAGCACCTGTGTAGAAGAGCTCACACTGCCAGAAAGTCAGATGGATACTGGTGTTCCCCAATCAACTCGCAGGGCATGCCCTCAATAACCTAAGGATGTCCCCACAAGGTTCTACCTCCCAAATGTTCCACCACCTTCCATTAATGCCACCCTAAATACCAAGCCTTCAATAACAATGAATACTTAGGGGACATTCAAACCATACCCATACCAAAGCAATGACAGAGAAGTGAAAAGAGAACTGGCTGAGTTCACAAGCGGCCAAGCTCAGTCTTTTATAACTATACACTCCCTCAAGAAGTAATTCAGCTCTGTTGAGAACTAGTCATGTTTTCTAAAGGTGGTGCCCTTAAGATCTAATTATCTCCCTTACAGTCTCTACCACTTCAATACAATTACATTGGGGAATTAAACCTCAACATGGGTTTTGGTGGAGGCAAACCACATTCAAACCATAGCAGAGGGTAAATCGCCTACTTTTCCTTGGCAATATATGAAACTAGAAAGGCAGCAGTCAAGCAATCGTTGCAGTATACTGCTAGTAGTATTGTTATTTATGCCCAAGGCAAATTATAATGATTTTATACAATAGCTGATCAACTTAAACATGTTATAAAAAGTTCAAATCCTGAATCGGTTTTATTAATGCTATATACAAATTATGCATAATGTTGAATGACAAGAACAACCTAAAGCTGTGTTCAATTAAAGTGATTAGTATTCAGTTAGACATGTTAACCTATGAACCCATAATTTCCAGGCAAATGAAAGTGCAATACTAACAAATTAGTACACAGAAGAAAGAAAGGCAGTAGAAAATAGTAAGCCATAGCCAAAGCTAGATTAATATATTAATGGTAGGGATAAAACCAACAAAACTGATGTCTCAAGGCTGAGAAAAACTAAATCAGTATTTCTTCCTCAACTACCCATTGAAGTCACTTGTGGAACTTAAAAATGCTGATGAATTCTTCTTATCTTTTCCTCTTCTGCTATGTGGGGACATAGTGGAAAGAAGACCATCTGTGAACCAGGAAACAGGTCTGTACCAGACACTGAATCTGTCCTTGACTTGACTAGAATTCCCAGACTCCAGAATGATGCAAAATAAATGTTTATTACTTACAAGCTTTAAAAAAAAAAAGCTGATGAATTCTACCTAACTGTAATTTTGTACCTGTTGACCAACCTCTCTCTATTCTTCTCTGCCCTTCTTACTCTTCTAAGCCTTTGGGAACCAATATTCTATGCTCTACATGTATGAGATCAACTTTTTTATCTTCTATATACAAGTGAGGACATATGGTCTTTGTCTTTCTGTGTTTGGTTTATTTCACTTAATATATATTGCTGCAAATGACAGGATTAGCCAGGCACAGTAGCATATATCTGTAATCCCAGCAGTTGGGGAGGCTGAGGTAGGTGGATTGCAAGTTCAAAGCCAGCCTCAGCAAAAGCAAGGCACTAAGCAACTCAGTGAGCCTCTGTCTCCTAAATAAAATACAAAATTGGCCTGGGGATGTGGCTCAGTGGTCCAGTACTCCTGAGTTCAATCCTGGGTACCCCCCAAGAAAAAAACAGATCTCACTCTTTTTGAAATCTGAATAATATTCAATTGTATACACACATACACACACACTACATTTTCTTCATTCATCTGTTGATGGGCAATTAGGTTGAGACCTTACCTTGGCTTTTGTTAAGAGTGCTGCAATAAAAACTTGGGCCTGTAGGCATCTCTTCAACATATTAGAATCAGACTATGTAAATTACTCCTGACAAATTTCAAATTCTGAGAATACTTGTTCAGATAATTTAAAAATACACTTTGATTTTTATACTTATATTTAAATATAATTTCTTAGAAATGTCCTGTTCTTTATTTACCACATTATTACAAATCTAAGATTCTGAAGTCAGTTTTATGAGCAGCTAGGTTTCTCATCCACCAGAAAGGTAGAGAGAGCACAGGATATATACTCTTTCCTGTCTCCCATGATTGCCAGTGAATGTGTCTAGAACATACCCAAAACATGAGAGCAAAGAAGGGACTTCACATTAAGATGACTGGTTCACAACTAATTTCTTTCTAGATGTTTCAAACTGAATTATATAAAAGTGCTATTTATGCAAAAGATAAAGTAAGTCCCATTTTACAGTATCTCAAATTTTCACAGATTTTATTGAAGATAAAACTGCATGCTTATATGTATATTTCTCACTATCCAAATTGAGTCAAATGTATTCACATTTATGACATCTACCTTTTATCAGATTTTAATGAAGAGTGATTTGCAGATGGAAAGTTTCAATATTAGAAAATAGATGAAGATAATTGAATTTATATATGTATATATGACAACAATCCTCAGAAATAAATCTATTTCACTTATTTTCATCAATTTGAGAATCTAATCTATTAATTGTAGCAAAGAATTTTACATTTAAAAAGAGTCAAAAGGATGCTGAAGGAGTTAGCATGATGAAATATTCTTTTTGAAATTTGAAAAGCTGATTGTACTCCATAATTAATTTTCCCTGTGACTATGGCTACAACTGAGTCTTCCCATGAGAATTTTAAAACTGCCAAATGACAGTCTTAAACTGTTTCAAAAGGCAATTACATAAAGTCTTCAGTTGATTTTTATTATATTGCCATTGGAAAAATAAAATCGAGAATTCCACTGCTATTTTATACCCATAATTTCTTTGGAAAAAAGCTTTAAAATACAAATGTTTGAATTTAAGCATGGAGTATGCATTATTTTGTTTATATAAACAATTATTTATATAAATAAATAACTATATAATTGTATATCTTTTAGGATCTGAAATGAAAACAAATGCAAAAAGAATACTGATTTTTTGTTACTGCACCTACCTTTAATGTGATACTATAATGTCCAACAAATGTTGCATTTATCCATGATCTTGAATGTGGATCACCCAAGAATTCTATGTGATATTGTTCGACATTTCCATCCAGGTCGTAAGTCACATATTTACCTTTAAATGGATCAGGGCAAAGTATTCCTGGCCAACTTTCAAAAGAAAATATTTTAAATTATTTTGATGCTTTAAAATAAGACAGACATCAACACATCTCTCAAAATCATTTATTAGACTTCTTCCTTTGAATTTTAATGACTTTTGAACAAAACACAAATATATTTCTATTTACATCTTTTAAAGATAGGGTATTCATTTGAGACAAGTAGTAAGTTGTATCTACTCTATAGCTACAGAAATCTTTGAAATAGTCACTAATTTAAGATATAGATAAGATATAAAAGGAAAGAATTATAAAACAAAAGAATGATCTCCAGTGTCAATAAGTGACATTTAGGCCCTACTGACTGGAAAGATAGGATAAAAAATTCATCAAATTCATGGCAATACTGAATTAATTCTAACCGATCAGAATGGTTAATTACCAAAATATTAATACCCTGGCATGGCTGCTGACAGAAGGGGACACAATTTTTTGAACAAGGATTGCCAAAAAAAATATTACCAGCTCAGGCTGTAACAATACTATGCAGTAAAACTATTGTGGGAAAAGCAGAGACAGAGCACCACAGTTCTATACTGTCACTTTTAACTATATCTGCTTTGTTGGCAGCTAACCACCTTGTTGAATGTCCTGGAGAAAAAAATTTACTCTTATTAAAAATAAACATTTAGAAAAAATAGATTCTTTCATGGCATAAATCTCTAGAAACTTCTCGATATGTTTCAGGTTTATCTCTGGCTATTCACTTCCACTTTTGTCCCTTTCAATTCTTCCATTTTTCTATTCTAGTTTAGGAACCTTAGGTCTTTCAACCAAATTAACATCTATTTTTAAAGCAACCAAACTGTAATTGTTACATCTCACTGTTTAAACTCTGTAAAATTTAAGGGGTTCATGTTTATTACTTGGAGCTTTACACCTCACAGCAATTTTAAAAAGGTTTGATTATGCCAAGTAATTTCAAATTATAGGTAGTACTTATTCCATTTAGCATAAACCTCTCAAGATTTCTAACACTTAAGTCACAAAAGAGAGAAATATTTTGCAGACAAGTTGCTATTTTGATGATAAAAATTATGATATATCCAGTATCGATTGGGCCCAAGACTTAAATTATCACTCTATGAAATATAAATAAAAGAATAAACTCTTAAAAAGAATTAGATGTTAATAAAAGTTTCCATTCATTAATTAAGGCACATTAAACTATAGACAACACCACATGCTGATTTAAAGATGAATTATGTAAACTACTGTCATGTGTCCAAATACTGGGACACTTTAGCATTTCTTCAAGCCACAGAGAGGAATTTTCTGACTCCTAGTCTGTATATCTCAGCTAATAAAGAGTGTACCAAACTAAAGGAAAAGCTAAGCAGAGGGAAGAGATGAAGAAAACATGATTACTTCTCCCCTATTGCTATATCTATCAGCTGACTTGCTATGATTGAAGAAAGCTGATGTTCATTTCTGCCCTCACACTGACCTCAGTTTCAGTTCAAACACTGTCAACTCTAAGATTGTACTGTGCACTTCTACTTTCCTATTTTTCTTTTCATACGGAAAAGAAATTTTTAAGTATCACTCTACTGACTTAAAAGTGGAAAGGAACAGTAAGAATAGACAACCCAAAGAAAAGGTATCAGAATTACAAGAAAAGTACATATTTAATGTTAGAATCTATGGGCGATAGAAAGTAAAATGCATAAACATGGTTAAAAGGGGGGGGTGCAGGCTGTCTGGGCATGGTGGCACATGCCTGTAATCCTAGCAGCTTGGTAGGCTGAAGAAGAAGGATAGTGAGTTCAAAGCCAGCCTCAGCAACTTAGGGAGGCACTAAGCAACCCAGTGAGACCCTGTCTCTAGATTAAAAAAAAAAGTGGGAGAGCGGGAGAAACAGGGAGTTGTTGGGGATATGGCTCAGTGGTTCAATCCCTGGTTCCAAAAAATAAAAGATGCTAGGTGTTACAATTAATCATGTACAAAGATAAATTTTAGCAGGATAAACCACCTCAAGGAAAGTACCAATATATCATGAAGAAACTAATGTTGTACACATTTATTATACCGTGGAACTGATTTGTAATAAGATAATTCTTGCCCCCAACAAAAGCATGGTTGCATTTGCCTTTTATTTATACCATATTAGAAATGTGTCACTATCATTTTCTAATTATGGTTTGGATGTTTAAGAGGAGAACAAACTTAACTTGGGCCTTATTCCTAAAAAGTTGGAGTAAAATGGATGAGTTGGAATCATCACCATATGAATATTATATTTGCCAAGAAATCTCTGTGCTGTATCTAACTTACGGGAAGACATACAGACACATATACATTATATTAATTTGCATGTAAAATAATGCAAATAAAAAACAATCAATTAATGTTTATAATACTGAAAGGATTTAATATAAATCTCAATTTATACATTTATATACTATCTAAAAAGTATCACTGGATTGCTTTGTAAACTTGAAGGCATATTTTAATACCAAGTGCTTTGGATGATAGCACATTAGGGTGCAAATATATTTTCTATAAATGAATTTTCATATTTATGAAAAAGCTTTGTAAAATGCTCTATAAATATATTCAAAATAGTTATCCTAAATAAAAATCTAGTTTCTGCTTGGCAATATATCTTCCTAAACTAAGTGAGATGTGAACTGTTATTTTCTCCTTTTAACTTCTGGATTCTTTCTAGCTGAAAACAATACTATTTCTTGAATATTAAAAAGCAAACCTGCTTAAACATTGTGGAAATAGTTTTGTCTTCATAGTATGTACAACTCTACCCCAAGTATATATAGGAATAATCCAAAGACACAGGCTTCCGATGTATTTTTGTTTAGTTTTTTTTAATATGGTGCTAGTGATCAAACCCAGTGCTCATGCATGCTAGGCAAGCAGCGTTCTACAACTGAGCCACAACCCCAGCATGTATATGTATTTTTATAAATACATGAGTGTGTGTTGCATCAGCAAGTGGACATAGACGTAATTAATATAATTTGATTCCTCGTGGAGCTTGCCCATACATAAAGAAAGTGCTATTATCTTGACAATGATTTGTTTTTATAAATAGGCATTTCTCGATTTTGTATCAGTTTCCCTTTAGCTTTATAAAAGCAGGTCAACACTTCTGAGAAAGAAGAACTTTGAGATGTTGACAACATTTGAGTTTCTGAGTCTTAAAATCTGGATGTAAGGCCATGGGTTACTGAGAATTGACCCAGATAATGCTACAATGCTAAGTATCTCTGCAGCCGCTGGTCTTTCCACTTGAAACTTCAGCATCTATAACATTGTTTAATTAAGATCTGATGTTTGGCTGTTTCTTATAGGTTAATTCTATCTTTACATTTTACTACTGCAATTTATCCTATCATCTTTTGCTACTGAATAAGCAACATAAGTACATTGACTTTCTTAATTTGAATTTTAAATTTGTGTTCAATTTAGTTCATAAAATGGAACGTAAGTGGCCACTTAGTCAAATGCATCCTACTTCTGAGTAAGGAAGAAGTGAGATATAGTTGTATTTTTCAGGCATATTGATGGCCCTAATTATATATTAGATATAACTTAGGGTTAGGAGTAAAATATATTTCATTTGTAATTTTAAATTCTAAGCCTCAGTAGCACAAAACTGTAAATGAATTGCTAATGAAATTATTAACAGTTTTTTCATTATGTAGTGACCAAAACAAATCCATTTCTTGAGATAGAGTTGTTAAAAGTTCAGTACTACCCTTTGAGAATACAAACACTAAGCTTTCAAAATGTTAATTTTAGATGTGAAAAATTAGATGGAACTACAAATACCTTCATAAGTAACTTCATAAAATGAGTATTCATATTCATACCTCTTAAAATACTTGTTATTACCCAACTTTTTCTTCTTGATGTCCATTTAAATTATTACATGGAAGTCAGTGACATTTTTTACAACAGCATTACATTTGATACCTAGAAAAGCCCTCATCAACAAAGGGCACATAATTCCAAAAGATTTCACACATTTTCCAAGACAGTATATTAGTTCACTAGGGTGTCTTGACAAAATATCACAGACTGGGTGGGTAAAATAATAGAAATTTACTCTCTTACAGTCCTAGAGGCTTGAAGTATTGATGTATTTTGTTTCTGGGTTTTCTTTCCTTGGCTTACAGATGACCACCTTCTTGCTGTATCGTTACATGGCCTTTCTTCTCTGTATATGCATTTCTAAAGTTTCTGTGTATCAGTCACATTAGCTTAGGATCCACCATAATGATCCCATTTTTACTTAATTACCACTTTGAAGGCCCTATGTCCAAATATAGTCATACTGTGAGGTACAAGGTGTTAGGGCTTCATTATATGAATTTTAAGGGAACAAAATTCAACACATACTAGTAAGTGAGAGAGCAAGAACATGAATCTAGGTATTGACTTCAAGGGATTCTGTATTTGTGTGTATGCTGGAATAAGCCAATTATACCATCTCACACTCAACATCTTATATTTTCATGGAGAAGAACATGAATGAAAATAAGATAATGAGCCAAAATATCCCAGCTTTGAGAATTTTTGCTTAAGAATGTAATATGAAATAGTATGAGGTTCTGGAATGATAGTGGCAATAATGTTACCATGTTAGAATCTCCTGAAATTATCTAATGTAGGTATGTAAAATATAAAAGCAATACCATACATGACACACAACATCTATGTTAAAATTTAATAGTTATTTAAGAACCCAAAAATAGGACTAGTAGGTGCAAACTACTGACAATTACAAGACCTGCAAAAAATTAGCTTCTGTGTGAGAAAAGAAGAGTGGGTAAGGAAGGCAACCAGAGGGTTAATGGCTTTGAGAAATGAGAACTTCAAAGTTGCAACAAGCATTCAGCAAAAAATGCAGTAGGGAAAACTGCAACAAATTCTGAAGGTGTTAAAGCAGTCTGGGCACTATGAACACTTAGATCTAATAAAGATCATTTGCAGGACAAAAGTTCATACTGATGAGAAACTCCTAGTAGA